AGGTAGTGCAGAGCTAGATGGACAGAGCTAAATGCAAGCAAGCAGTGGCCTAAGAAAGCAAAGTCAATGATGAAGAGATTTGGAATTCTGAAAGAGGGAGGTATGCAAAGAGCATATGAAGAGACTAGTTCCAGGTTGAATTCTTGATAATTCATGAATTTTTGGAGATCCAAGTTTTGAGGCAACAGATGAGGTCATAAACAAGAGTTCAGGAACAGATAGAGAATTGTAATAGAGAAATGAGATTGCTTTATACCACAGTTCAGAGGAAATGAAATGCTTTCAAAGCTGAAGGCCACTCAGTTACCAGGTGCCAGTGGTCAAAGTTTTTCAGATGCCCTCTCCCTGAAGGGCCCTGCAATGCAGCCAAGCACTGTGTCAGAGGAGGAAAACTTGGGCCAACCTCTTTGGCCAACATTGTGTGAGGGGGGAGTGTAACTTGGTAACTTTAAATACAACAGCAAAATTTAATTGTCTCTGAACTACTGCCTTTGTTCCCATAGAGTCATAGGGTGGACTCATTTTGCACCAGTACAAAAGGGAGACTGGTTGCTGTAGTGTGAATATAAAAATGGCCACAACTGGCATATTAGAGGGTTCAGAAATTAGAAATATTGCAGTTATAAATCAATCATAAATTGGTCATAAATCAATCATATGTTAGCTATAAATTAATCATATGTTTACCCCAATCAATCATATTGTTGTCATAAATAAATCATAACTCCATCATGAATCAATGAAGCTGTCATGAGAAATCAATCACTGACAAGATATTACAATCAGATGTGAAAGACAGCCAGGACCAAAATGGCTGCCCTCCATGTGTCTGTGCCATATATAGGCCCATCAAATCCTGATCCAAGCCTCACAAGACCTCCAGTCCTGCAAAACTTGGTTGAGATCTGGGGTGAAATCGTGGGAAAATCCCATGATGTCTGTGACCATCTCAATACTTGAAGCAGCAACTAGAGCTGGATCCTGTCATGCCCCAGTGAAAAGAGAAACCCTCCACAAACCATTGGGGCTAAGTCCCCTCATTTACCTACACTTTCTGTAGCATTTCAAAGGAAGAATGTGGACTCTCTGACCACAATGCTGCCTCTTACCTTCCCCTGCTTGTCATTTTACCATCTTTGTCAATGAAGAAACCTGTGACCTTCAAAAGCTGCCATGATGTATTTTTCACCTTTTAGTTGGCTCTCTAAAGAACTACTCCTACTATTCTCTCAATCCCTCCCACTTTATATGCAACTAGAACCAAGGACCTTAATCTTTGTTTGCCTTGTTCTTGCATATGAAAATAAAACATATTTTCCCTTCCTCTCCTGCTAGGCATGAAGTACTTTCTCTCAGTCTCTAGAGTGTCTTTGGATGTGAGAGAATGGTTTTTCTGCAATGTGAGTCAACTGTGCAAACTACATAACTAAAGTTGTGTTGTTGTATGGATTTAATTAGAAAGATCACACAAGTTGTTTGCATGTTTGATCAACCAATCAGTCCTTCTATGGTTACTGGCTTTGTATCCTTTGCTTCAGAAAGAGACAAGCACTAGCCATTTTCCACAAATTGCAGAAACCTCAATAAAAAACAAACAAACTTCTTGCTGCATTCTTGGGTTAAAGAAAAACTATCTTCTGTGGGTAAATGATTTCTCCATAGAGTATGTCAATTTGTATTGGGGATCAGTGAGACATCCGGCGGCCTTCCAGCATGTGAGGGAGCATGTAGGTGGCCAGAGATGCCCTGAACATCCCCAAGGAGCACCAAGGAGAAGCTACTGGGTCCCAGGATGGGTGCAGGAGAAGCCAACAGCCTTCGGCAGACCCCAGGAGAAGGCTGAGTAGAAGCCAACAGACCTCAGTGGGTCCTGGGGAAGGCCAAGGAGACACCAGCGGGCTTCACTGGGCCCCAGGGAAGGCCAGGGAGATGCTGGAGGGCTTCAGTGGACCCCGAGGAAGGCCAGGGAGATGCCGGTGGGCTTCAGTTCTCTACACAATAACACCACATGTGAATTTTCTATAGAATAAGGCACAAACCTCATGGATTCTCAGTGCAGTATTTTTCTCTTCAGTCTTTCTCAACACTTGAGAAACATGTTTTTCAAACATGTTTTTAAAAATATTTCCAAATATTCTTCCCATCTCTAAAATGTAGAGGCATACATGGGGAAGATGAGCATGTTTTCTCTGCTACAGACACTAACAGAGTAATAAAGGTCTAAAGCAGTGGTTCCCAAACTTTGGTTCTACAGATGTTTTGTACTTTAGTTCCCAGAATTCCTGACTACTGAACAAGCTGCCTGGGATTTCTGTAAAGTTGAAGTCCAAAACACCCTGAGAACCATAGTTTGGGAACCACTTGTCTAAAGGGTAAATAATTCAGAGATTAAAATGATTTCAGGACTTGCTATCCCAAAATGGTATATCATGCATTATTGCTGTTTTGTGCCTTCTAGTAGTTTCTGACTTATGGTGATTCTAATGCAAACCTATCATGGGATTTGTTTGGCAGGATTTGTTCAGAGAGTGGTTGCATTTGCCTTTTTCTGAAGTTGACAGATGCATCTTGCCCAGGTCACCCAGTGGGTTTACATGTCCAAACCAGCATTTGAACCCCAATCTCCAGAGCCATAGTCCAACACTCAAACCACTATTCCATACTGGTTCTCAAATCATGCATGCATCCCTGAAATCTGCAAGACCTTGGAAGTGGGTTTTATTATTTATTTTATTTTATTTGTCAAAGGTCCCTATATATTTCATGAGCATCCATAATTAAAACTTTATTGTTGTTATTAACTGCCCTCAAGTCAATCTCAACTCATGGCAGCCCTATGGATAGACATTTCCAAGACCCTCTGTCCTCTGCTGCTCTGTCTAATTCCTGCAAACCCTTAATACCCATGACCTCTTTAATAGAGCCCATCCATCTAGCATGTGGCCTTCCTCTCTTCCTATGTCCCTCCACCTTTCCCACCATTATTGTTTTTTCCCCCCCAAAGATTCCTCTCTTCTCATGACGTGTCCAAAGTACAACAGTCTCAGTTTGGTCATCTTGGCTTCCAGGGAGGTTTCCAGCTTGATCTCCTCTAGGACCCACTTGTTTGTCCTTTTGGCTGTCCATGGGATCCTCAGCACTCTTCTACAGCACCACATTTCAAATGCATTGATTTTCTTCCTATAATCATTCTTAACTACTTAAAACTACTTCTACTTTACATCTCTATCACTATTCACTGTTGTAAAATGAGGGTAGGGATGAATAGTGGAGAGAAAGGGAGTGTAAGGAACAAAAGCAGAACTAGAAGAATTTCTCATCAGGGACCACTTCAGAAGCTGCCTGATGGCCAGAGGAAAAAAATAAATAAATGGGGGAGGGGGTATGTAGGTGTGTTTATAAGCTTTTTTGAATTATGCATTATCTTTGACTGTTCAGAATACAAAGGTTTTTTTTTATTAGTCCATTTCAGGATCTCTTTTTGTGTGTGTGTGTGTGTTTCTGGTAAGCTTAATTCTAGATTTATTTGGCACCTCCCTGAAAAGCTTCAAGTCTGTGTTAGGGTTTTTTTTTTTTTCCCTCTTCCTCGCATATAACCCGTAAAGATATAAGGCTCCTGAAGAGTGGATTATAGCCCAGGCCTTTAAAAATGTTTATAAGCGTCTCCTGTTATAGGGTAATCTCTCAAGGACATCCCATCTTGCTGAGTTATGTTTGTAATTACCATGCTGAATCTCAGAACCTCATGAAATCTGGCACAGGCTTGACTATATTGCATTGTGTCCAATCCAAAGATGCTGCTCTGTGCTTTCACAATGGCTTGAAGCTTAGTGTTCTCTGCACAGTTTTGCATTATTGCTATTTAAGTTTGTGGTAAAAAACCAAAAAAACAAACAAAAACAAAACCCAACAACAACCCAGCATGCACAAATACATGGCAGTAACTATGCTGAAAGTATTATTCCTCTTCTTCTGTGTATATGACTTTTTAATGTAATTAACAGGCAGTTTTCGTAGCTCCTTCCCATGATCTGTGTCCAAGAAATCAGCTTGGAATGGCATTGTCTTCATTAACCCACATCTGTTTAAATGATCTCATCTGCAAAAAGTAGTAACACCACCTATTATAAATGTATCTAGCTGCCTTATGCTGTGCTGTACTACTACTACTACTACTACTACTAATAATAATAATAATAATAATAATAAATTTTATTTATAACCCGCCCCTCTGATCGGCAATCAGGGCAGTGTACAACAGAATTAAAAATACAACAAGTACAACAATTTCTACCTCCCACCTCTTACCCTCCCACCCCTTAAAACTGAATTAAACCATCATAAAATTAAAACAGTCGAGATAAAATACAGTACAGCAGAACACCTTCACAATGTCACAGTATCAACATTACAATATGTCAACATATACTGTTAGTTCATCTTGCTGAAGATTGCATACTCAGGTTGAGAGGAAGTTTCCAGGATCTAAGAGGTAACAACTTTAGTACCCACACATTAGGGAGTAAACATTGTACATACAGCTCCAGTACTTTTTCACTGAACTAAGGCACAGAGGTGTGAAGACCTGGACAACATACAGAATAATTTAAGAAGTGGGGAACATTCCCTTCCCCATTTTTTCCAAGGACAATTTTTCATTTCCCCCTCCCTATGGAAAATCTGGAAACTTTGAGAAATGTAGAAGAAACTGTGATGCTCCCTCCACTTTTAGAATGAATGAAATGCTTTTTAAAGCAATAATTTATACACCCAAAGGCTGAATGAATGCAGACTATGAAGATTATTACACTGGATAGTTGGGAAAATATTTTTGTTTTTGTTGTCGTTGTGTGCCATCACTTAATTTCTGACTTATGTCAATCTTAAGGCAAACCTATCACAGAGTTTTCTTGGTAAGATTTCATCAGAAGGGGGGTTTCATTGCCTACTTCTGAGGCTGAGAGAGTGTGACTTGCTCAAAGTCACCCAATCGATTTCTATGGCTGAGCAGGGATCTGAACTCTGGTCTCCAGAGTCACAGTCTAACACTCACACCACTACACAACACTGGCCCTCTCTTTAGAATTAGAGAACAATAATTCCTGTATATATATTAAACATATAAAACACTCAAAATCAAGATGCATTCCTGCACCTTCTATATGCTGCCATCTACCTGAAAAGAGCACATGGGGATCCTTAATTGCTTACAATGATTATACACCATTAAAAAAATTCTGTATTTTCAATGTTGAGTTAAACTGTAACATGTGCTGTTAGCTCAGTTATTAAGGCTAGGAATTTCTGTTTTAATTTTCTCCAGTGGCAACAACCAAAAGAGAGATGCTTAGATGTCAGAGTGTATTGCTGCAGCTATCTCTTTGGTCTACAGTATAATACTAATTTTGCTTGTGCAAAATTAAAGCTCTTACATTTTAAAATTCCATACATCTGCAGAACAGTACAATCTGGTGAGCTAAGTAAACAATTTTGCCACATTTCCAGTTGATGTGAAAATGAATATTTTATTTCTTCTCCGTGTACATGTGTGTTGTTTTTCTTCCCAAGGGAAGGACAAGAAAAATGTCTTCCCCCAGTTTCATTTTTTTTCCAAAACAGGCAGAAGGAGATGAATTTTTATTTTTCAAATGTTCAGTTACATCACAGCAACAAACATCAGCATGTTTTAAAGCAGATATTCCAAGCACAAATTTCCCCACTCTGAGGAAGAAGGAAAAAAATCATAAGCAAAGCTTCCATTGCTTCTTGTCTCACCATGTATCCATGATAGAGGAATCTACCTCTTATCTACTATACAGTAACAATTCATTTATGAATTTGCCTTGTTTTGTTAACTGATGTGACAATCCAATGGCTTGTGCATTGCTGTAAATTCCAACTCTATGACACCCCAACTTTGTGAAGGGCCATTCCTCCTGCTCCATCAAATTTGTACTGCCAGAATTGGTACCTCTTCAAAACCAGGCTTCTTGTTTTCACCAAGATTGCCTGACAAACGCTGTCACTTCTTTGCTAAATAAAATCTTAAAGTGTCTCATTGCCCTGCCCCTTTTCCAACTGCATATGATCAGTTTTGCGACTACACAGCTGCACATGTTGTGTTCATAAAATAAAGATGGGCATAGGCATAAAGAGACTTAACAGGAATTCATGAAAATGTGATGATCATCTACAAAGAACCAGCAAAACAAAACAATAGTTCCCATACAAACCAATGCTCCAATTTGCAGTTTTATACAGACACAAACTTCTAACATGTAAATTTACGATTTCCTGTTTCTCTGAAAGATTTAAATGATCCATTTCATGTGAACACATAATACACATCAAAGGGGCCATGACCTATCAGTATTACCTAAGAAATCTCATGATCACTGAAACTAGTCTTGCCTGTTTTTTAAAAATATTTGCCGCCCCCCCCCCGATGTAAGAAGAAATCTAATTATGCAACAGTATAAGGCCCAATTTATATGGGACAAATATCCCTTACAATATGTTCTGTAGCTTTAAAGCATCCTTCAGTCAGGTTTCTGCAAGGCAGAAGGTCTCTTCCATCCACAGTACATATCACAAATGATGCTATTTTTCTTCTTTCTGATGCTGAGTTACTTTTCTCTTCTAGACACAATTCCCTCCTGAGACTTTTCATCAATAAATAAAAGGACATACTGCTATCACAGCTGCTAGGTGTCTTCCAAACCACTCATTAGATTGTAGTTTTAGAATGAGAAAGAAAGAGGAAAAGCTCTGGTATATGTTGGGGGGGGGGAACACAAGTGATACCTATTCTTAAAGAAATCTACACAGTGAAAATTTAAAATATGTTAGCACTCCACACACAAAGGGAATTTATCTCCCTTAAAAGGAAGACAGAGAGAAGGCAATGCAAGTTAAATTAAAATATATGTACTGTAATAACCATCTCGCTACCTTACCTAGGTACTCGTATGTACAGATATAATGCAATGCCCAGAATGGATACGATGGTCAGTTAATAAGAGCAAGAATACCTTGTGAATATACAGGTGGCAAATGCTGGACCAAAATACAGCCATAAGGTCCACAAAAAACCAAATGTTTCATCATCACAGCTTTGTGTTTAGTTGAGCGAGGAAGGGACAGTTCAGGTTTCCCTCAGTATTCTTTCTCTTAGCCATGTATCTGTTGTTACTAGGTTTCTGCTAAAGCACTAGGTTGAGCATCATGGGAGGAAGGAGAGGAAGAATATAGCTTCTTCCAGTTTAATCACCCTCTATATGTTTTAGCATTATTATAATCACAATTATCTTTTTAGCTGGCCACATAAGTTTTGATGAATCTGAAATTTGTTATTTTGATTAACTGTAGCAGAGAAAGCCATTAAAGGCACGTTTCTCTGTCATTGAACACTGCTAACACTCCTTTTCAACATATATTTTATGAACAAAACTTCTTACTAATTACTAGTAAATCATAAATCTTCCACTTTAGAAGTGGAATTGTACATGCATACACAGAAATCATAAATCTTCCACTTTAGAAGTGGAGTACATGCATACATACCAATTTCTGGAAAGTAGCTATCCCTACAGAGTTTCTCAAAGCATGCCTTGACTGTAGTTCCAATATATATACATATTGGGAAAACAGAAACATGGAACAATGACCCAATGACTCTACTGTTGTTATATATTGATCTTTATCAGCTATAGGAAAGTATAATGAAAGTATTGATACTTCCTACATTGCATCTACTTAGATTGCCAGGATATTAATAAATACTATATTCATGGAAAGCACACATACAGTACTTAGCCCAAGTCCCTAATTAGTATGCTATTATGTTTGCACTAAGGTTACCTCAAGCGTTCAGCTGATTTTCATCATTATTCCAAACACATTAATGTTTAGTCTATAAAGCTTATTGCATTCTTAAATAATATGGCTTATCTGATCCAGTTTAAAATTTAAAGCAGGTGGCATCCTGATATTATCAGAAAGATTTAGCCACCAAAATTGTCACCCGGGTCCATCCCAGGTCCATCCCTGCTCCCAGGGGCACTCTGTGCACCTCTTTTTGAAGCTGGGAGTTTTCCGGATTAAGAAAATGGCCACCGGAATGGCCCTGGGAAGTGGGATGGACCCGGGATAGACCCGGGTAGATATTTCAGTAGCTAAATCCTTCTGATAATATCAGGATGCTGCCCGGTTTAAATTTTAAACTGGATCAGGTAAGTCATATATTTAAGAATGCAATAAACATATATGATGCTTCAAAGAAGCCCATGACAAGAAAAAAGGGCAATCTTGATGGGATCATCCCTTTCTAGCGAAAAGATAAAGCTTGTGATTTTGCATCCCATTCTTAGTACAAGGTCTGTACAGTGTTTATCTCTATACAACCTTTTTGCATTGCCACAGTACACCACCTCTGAAGGTTTCCAGCATTCATACAGTACCTTCTCAACCTCCCTCAAGTCTGTGCTCTGGCTCATTCTTTATCCCTCATTTTCTATGTGGCCCTAGAAATTTAGGCTTAAACTACAGTGGACCTATTGAATCAAAGGAACTTGCCAAATTAACTCTCATGTAAGTCCCAGCATCTTACACAGGTCAACTGTAGTTGAGAATAACAATGGCAGTTAGGGCTCTGTCACCCCATCTGTGGGACTGATGAAGACACCTAGCATTTTAACATGTTCTTTTTTTCCTAAATGGTACTATCCTGTCTCCCCTGCCTCTCTCTTTTGAAGTAGTGTTTCAAATGCTAAATAACAAAAGTGCTTTCCCTCAAAAAATGTTCACCTCTTCTCATTACTCTGGACCAGAGCCTTTTGATTATATCACCAATGTTCCAACCATCCACCTTTCATTAGAGCCTCAAGAGACTCCATTGAGACAGCTAAAATAGGGCCAATGCAATCATGAATAATATACAGTACCTGTGGGCTAAAATTAATAAAAAGTAAATGGACCTTGACTTTGAAATAAAAATGAACAAGGATCCATAAGCACCATCACTCAAGGGCAACCAAAAGGGAACCAGGGTATAGCAGTGCAGCAAAATAAGCAGAAACCCCATGCTAGCAAATAAAAAAGAATAGAAGGAAGGAAGGAAGGAAGGAAGGAAGGAAGGAAGGAAGGAAGGAAGGAAGGGGGGATAAAAACCAGAAGGCACTGCAAAGTGCTCAGCTACAGAAAACTACAATTCTTTTAAAGCAAAGCAAAGCAGCTTCATTTATATACCGCTTCATATCGCGCATGGGATGTCTAAGCGGTTTACGACTGTGAGCTGATTGCCCCCCAACAATCTGGGTACTCATTTTAGCGACCTCGGAAGGATGCAGCCTGAGTCGAGCCTCAGCCCTGGCTGGTATTGAACTCGCAACCTTGTGGTCTATGAGTGAGTGGCTGCAGTACAGGCATTTAACCACTGCGCCACTAGGGCTGATCTCATATGTTTGAAAAAAGACCATAATGAATGATATGAATCCCCAAGGGAGGGTTATCAAAGGAAATTGTATATTGCACAAGGGATTCTTCCATAAGAAATGTTTTATTCATGGAGTGGACCTGGTGAATTCTCACATGTGGTGTTGCAGATTGGGAGTTCTGAATAACCAAGTCTTTTGTGAATGAACAGTCTCATAAATATTTGCAGAAATACAAGGATATTATCCAGGGACTTAACTTTCTCTTGTTTGTTGTTGTTGTTAACTGCTCTTGAGTCTAACTCAACTCATGGTGACCCTGTGGATGAGACATCTCCAAGATCCCCTTTCTTCAATGGCCTTGCTCAAATCCTGCGGGTTTAGGCCCATATCTCCCTGATTGAGCCTAAGCATCTGACATTTGGTCTTCCTCTCTTTATACTGCCTTCTACCTTTCCTAGCATCATTGCCCTTTCCAAATAATCCTAGTCTTCTGGATTCTTGACTGTAAGTATCCATTCTGGTCAATGCCTTCTCATGCTGTGGCCAAGATATAACAGCCTCAATTTAGTCATCTTAGCTTCCAGGGAGAGTTCAGACTTGATTGGTTCTAAAATCCATTCGTTTGTCTTCTTGGCCAC